CCCAGTTAAATGTCAACACCTGTGAACACAATGACATAGTTGCTCAGGCTGAATAGTGACAAACAGGAACTAAGTATCAAAATTTCTAAATATAGAGTTAGGAATTTCTAGGGAAAAATGTATGGACTGAGGAAGACCAGGGTAAATACTGGCAGGATGAGTTACTATTAGGGTCGAGAAAATACTACACAGTTTTACAAGTGCTGAGAGAAGATTTCCACCACTAAATTGTCAAACATGCCCCAGGACTGATTGTCCTAAATATTTAAACAAACACATGTGGGAAGACTTATTCTTATGTCTTCCAATTTCATAATAAAACTCAAGGAGAAAATGAAAAAAACATTTAAGAGCTACCCGTGCTGACATGCACCTCAGATATTCTTATCAGGGAATGGCTACTTACATTTCTGATTACATCGCGCTCTTTAAAGGAATCACGTACTTTCAGTGTTTTATAATAACTTTTACATCCTGTGACACCTGCCAAAATTTGGCCAAGACCCATCCTGTCAGCCTGATTTTCACCTGCCCAGGTACCCTTCCTTGTCCTAGCCAAGCGGCTCCTGTGCTTGCCCTGTGGTTTCCCAACACTCGATCTAGTCTCCTACTGATACCTCTGCCTCTTCCATTCCCTGCATCCCAATTTCTTCCTGTCCAAATCTTCCCCCTCCTTCAAGGCCCAGCTGAAAACAGCAGCTGGAAAGAATTATGCTCCTCTCTGAACTCTCTGTGGCACCTTACAACCGCTGGCTTGCAATAACAGGTAAGTGTGCACCTGGCCTCTTCCCTCAGGCCGACTGTAAACCCTTTGAAGGCAGAACTGCCGGGTTCCCTCTTCAGCACCCAGGACAGCGCCTGGCAATCGGTGCATGTTGAACTGCTTATTGAATATTATCATGAGTCCTCCAAGAGGGAGACAGCTGCCCTCCCGTCTCTGGCGTGGCATCCCACAGACTCCCAGATGAGTCAGGCTATAGAGCCAGTAATTAGAAAAATTGTTTTTTGTGGGAAAACCATCTCTGAATTTTTGTTAGATGCTTTCAAATGCTTTGCAGGGAGCCTATTATATATACCTTTTCAGCATTCTACCTGGAAGAGATTTTCTCAATGTTCCTGATCTATATCATAAAATGGAGTTTATATTTTTAACTTTTTTTGGGCGGGGGGGCTTATTTCAAGACATGCTCATTATGTTCTTTCAGGGAGATTTTCCTTATGGCAATTACTTATAAACTCCTGACACAAAAGGTCTTTTTTTCCTGCTGCACAGTCTGCCTTTATGGAGCTGAACAAAGTCCTCATGCAGAAGCAGGGCTTAGACAAAGGCAATGCTACCCCTCAAATGTGCCAAATAGCATCGTTCCAAAAGAACACATTTTTAAGCAAAACTCAGTAAAACTTAATTAATTACGAATAAAGAGTCAAGGGCAAGAAGGGTGGAGGAACTGAACATAGCCTGAATTATAGTACATGCCTAAAAATGCAGTTTTATTATTGTTAAGCACATGGAAAGATAAAAATAGGTTCAATTAATGTAAAGGAAAAAAGCGAGGTAGGTCAGGGGAAATTTATTTCACAACAGTTCTTGGTGCCTGGAATTCTAAGTTATCAGGTTTGTTTCTCAATTTTTCTAAATTAAGAATAATGGCATAGAAGTAGATCAACACATTTGCCTACATTTTCCAAATCTAT